ATATAATTGGTGATACAATCCATGAAAATAGATAACACCTTACCTGGGCTAAAAATAGATATTTTGTTTTAAATACAGTGATTCACAATAAGTAAATACAACCCTTGTGTTTTGAAGGATCTTGTTTTTGTAGCTTGTTAATGTACTGATTCGCGAGTGACATCATTTTTGCTGATAGTCTGAACACAGTGGAAGGAATTGTTATTCAAATTGATCTCCATGGCCATGCTTTATTATTGTGAAGACAACGCCAAGTCTGCCACGCACAAAGCAGTTACGATACACGTGGAACTTGTGAGATCATCAACTTGTCACATGATTTTATGACACACCCCCAACGGGGATTCCCCTTATCATACGCTAAATTTAGACACCGCACGCGCACTCTCGCTCTAAGATGACGTCATATCGTCCCATCGTTTTGAACACGGTACCACAGTAGTTAGTCTTTTTTGCAAACCCGTTTACCTCACCATCAAGCCTCAGCTGACAATCTGTGAATTTGATACCGTATCATTATTATCATACATGCCAAAAAGCGGGAAAATGAGATCATTAGATTCTTATGATACACCAAATTGTTTCTTTATAAAATAAACATACTGTAAACCTACTCTGTATGCATTCTATGTTACAGACTCCCCTCCCACGAAAACTACCGTGGTAGGGGGCCGGTATCAAGAATGGCAAAATTACTTAAATCAGTGACAGCAGTAAAAAAAAAAAAAAATGTATGTTTACACCACTCCACACAATAAGAAAAATTTGCTTTTAGGTCCATTACATACATATTATTTATCATTTTCAATAATTTGTTGTTGCTCAGTCGAATCGTATGCTTGTTTTCATGTCTGCGGCGTAGCCTATACGGCACGTTCGCTTCACTTCGCGATGGAAAATTTTTCCCACATAAAAAAAATATAGTAAACAAATAAACCGGCTTGAACTGCAGATGTGTGCATTGTGTACGGCAAAGCGAGTTCGAACTTGTTAGCTTTGGCTTGGCCTTGGATTTGCTTGGTGGTAGTGGGTGGGAACAAAATTTGCTACGTCATACCTCCATTTCATTCAAAAAAGCTTCATCATGTTTATCAAAATGGCGGCATGGGCTTTTGTGGTATCTCGTAACTGGGGGGCCACGGATTAATCCGAATTTGGCCCTTGTTATTTATTTGAAATAAATGATGAAGGAGCAGATGATAGGAAGACATGTTTTTCCATTAAAATTATGGTTGTATGTAGTTGGCCTATATTTGCAAAATGCCATCAATACTGGCTGATTAATTATTAGGGCTATATCATAAACAATATCTGCATACAACATTTCATGGTAATCATAGTTTATTTATAATTCATTAAACAGACCGCCACTGTTTAAATACAGGATAAACTCTTGAAACTTGAATCGCGCATAATATTAATAGCCATGCAGGCCTATTAATCACAATGAGCTGATCATGATCTATGAACGATGGGGCATATGGTTATTGTAGTGCCTGATATCAGATGCATTGTTAAAAGTTTAATAGACGATATCGGTTTGACTAGTAATGCTTATTTACCAGGCAATACATGCAACTTGTTTCGTTTTCAATGAATTTCATTAAATATTTCATGGACATGCATATTTTGTATGTGTCTCCTAGCTTCATTAACGAAAATCCTTGACGCTTTGATAACACAATAGCATGAACTTTAAACGGAGCGTAGCACTGTTTATGTAAATATTTATTCATTATTAAAATATAATCCCATCAGGGCTCAAATTAATTTTTTGCCCACGGGGGCTCTTCCAAAAGAAAAAGAGCCCCCGTGAGCCTTCTCACGGGGGCGATTTTAGTGCTGACGGGGGCTCTTATTTTACTACAAATTTCCATTCAATTGGTACCCGTGAAACTCCTTGGTATTTTATCATTATAATTTATCTAAGTCGGTATTTTTCCTCTTAGAAATTTACTTGTTACATTGCTGTTATTGACTTTTATTCCCGTGAGGACATTTTCTCCATTTCTTCCCGTTCTGCAAATAATTTCCTCCTCATTATTCGGAGCAACCTTATTTACATTCTTTTTTTACTTTTAGTCTTTACCAAATCCTTCCAAAACACAGGGGTGGGTCAAGCTTTTTGCTAAGGTTGGGGGGGGGGGGTACCCCAAATAACGATGTGGAGCATCGTCCACGAGCCGCGTAGCGGCGAGGCGATTTTTGTTGTTGCTATTTTGAACCCCCGTAAGTGGTGTTTTCCTGGCATCTATAACATGCGGATCGTCGTCCACGAGCCGCAAAGCCGCGAGACGATTTTTTTGGTGCTTTTTTGAACCCCCGTTAGTGATGTTTTCCTGGCATCTACTGATATCTACTATACTGTGTAGGTCTGGACACATGATAGCATTTTTCTTTGCACATCACATTTTTCCTTGGCAGCCCAAGGGGGAGGGGGGGGGGGTTAAACCCCCTAAACCGCCTAGATCCACCCCTGCAACATCTTATGCCTTCTTCTTCTTCTCAATATTGATTTACTGGTCGGGTTACATTATTTGCGGGTCTTTAAGAATCACCAGATTTCAGAGGATTCAAACTTTCACAACGAAAAACTTCTCCATGTTTCAGTCCTTGCGCGATTGTCGATCTCCAGCTCAAGCAGATATTGGGCGTCAGCGTGCACACCGGTACTACCAGCGCAGTATAGCCACTGTGCTGACGGCCGCACCGCGAGCTTCCGTTGTTTGTATCGGGAATACTCGTAGAGATGGTAGAGAAAGCGCCATCTAAGTTCCATTTCATTGGTTTAAGGTTTGAAAATGAATACTCAATATTGTGTTAAAGTTATATCAGAAAAGATAATCTTAATTTTATAATTCCACGGGGGCGATTTTTAATTTTGCAATCGCCCCCGTGAGCAACCTGACGGGGGCGATTATGGAGCTCACGGGGGCGAATCGCCCACCGCCCCCGTGTATTTTGAGCGCTGAATCCCATGCATATATGATTATGATTTTTTTTTTAACATCATCATCATCATCGTCATCGGCATTATCATTACAATTTTTTTTTTTGTAATCATCACCATCATCAATACATCGTTACCACCACCGCCACTACCATCATCGTCACCGTGGTTATAGCCATCACCACCATCCTCATCAAACACTACCATCACCACCACCACCACCACGATCACATCAGCCACACCCACCTTCTTAGTTCTTCCTTCTTTTTCTTCTTCTTCTTCTTCTTCTTCTTCTTCTTCTCCTTCTCCTTCTTTTTCTTCTTCTTCTTCTTCTTCTTCTTCTTCTTCTTCTTCTTTTTCTTCTTCTCCTTCTCCTTCTTCTTCTTCTACTTCTTCTTCTTTTTCTTCCTCTTCTTCTTCTTCTTCTTCTTCTTCTCCTTCTTCTTCTTCTTCTTCTTCTTTTTCTTCTCCTTCTTCTTCTTCTTCTTCTTCTCCTCCTCCTTCTTCTTCTTCTTCTTCTTCTTCCTCCTCTTCTTCACTATACCTCCACCACATCCCAATGTTAATCATCCATCATGTAGAAGTGTTGTGGTCTAGTTGATCAGTCTCCGGACTGTGATCCACAAGGTACGTTGTTCGAATCCCTGCCTGATTTATTCTTTGAATGCACTCATGATGTGATATGCAAGTTATACAAGAGCGGTATTTTATAGTTTTATCCTAACCATCATCATTATCATCATTATCATCACCTTTATCACTGCCACCATCAGCACATTCTATTCTTTTCCGTTTCTGACGTCGCCATCGTTGTCGCCAACACCACCACCATCTTCTTCTTCACCATCATCATCATCATTATCATCATCACCATCAACATCGTCAACGTCGCCATCATCCTCACCATCACCATCATCATCATCAACACCGTCATCATCACCACAACCACCATCATCATCACCATCACCATCATCTTCTTCTTTCTTTTCATCATCACCATCATAACCATCATCTTCACCGTCAGCATCATCACCGACATCATTATCCTTATCACCATCATCTTCTTCTTCCTTTTCATCATCACCATAACCGTCATCACCATCACCATCAATCATAACCATCATCATATTCAGCGTCAGCATCATCATCATTACAACCATCATCATATATCATCACCACCACCATTATCATTATCATCTTAATCAATCACCATCGACCAACACTACCACCTTCATAAGTCACCATCATCCACATGTAAACCGTTCTACCAGTATAAACTCCAATTAGACTACACATCCTCCAAGTAGATATCTAATTACACTCGCACGCCCAGCCCATCAGAGCTATGGAAGAAATGAGTCACGACCCAGATTCTATAATAGAAAATTGAGATGATTGAGTAGTTGTAGTGAAAAAGGTGATGTCGCTCCTCTCTAATATTGCATCATCCTTATCCCAGGACCCACACCCCTACTTGGATCAACGATGATGTGTGTGTTTAGAGCATTTTTTTTTCTTCATAAAGATAATAAACAAATAATTTTGAAGATGAAAATAAAATCTTTTATTTTGTTTATATACTTTTCTATATCTTTTTTATTTACAAAGTTTACAATTAGGAACCAAGGGGTTTACATGATCTGAGGGGTAACTAACCCAAAAGAACAAAATTGTTCTTCCTTTTTTAATGGGACTTATTATGACTAATGTACTAATAGCTGGTATTCCATACATGCACACACACACACATCAAAGTCAATTTTAGCTACTGCCAAACATCAAACATGGAAGAACTTTCGTCTCTTTCTTTCTATTTCTCTTCCCCTCTCTCTCTCTCTCTCTCTCTCTCTCTCTCTCTCTCGTTCCCTTTCTCTTTCTTTCTCTCTCGCTCTCTCTCTGTCATACTCTCTATCTTTCCATCACTGTGTTTACTATTTTTCCTTCCATACATAAAATGCTCAATTAGTTTCCATCTGAAATATCCACAATCACATCCACAATATATCATGCTTGATGCAAAAGAACACAAATAGTTTGAAGGACCAGAAAATTAGTTTTTACATATTTTATATGTCATCCTTTCAAAAGAGCCAACATCATATAATTTGTCAACAGATATATAAATCTTTGCAATATGAAATATACAAAATCACCAAGCCATGTCCAGTAATGTACAAATTTTCAATGATTATTATTTCATATAAAACTAGGTCATACCCATGATAATTTACATAAATCCTCCTATAATATATAAATGTGTAATTTTTGTTTCAGTCTGAACATATGAAAAAAGATTTATTTTGGTTATAACTACACATTAAACTGCATTTATTCAAGGTTGATGCGTGAGCCCAAAAAAATTAATATAACATGTAGATATTTATTTTTGAAAAATACATGTAAGATTACTATGTAAGATGAGTCAAAAGAATTATTAAAACAAAATTAAACTATAGATTCTTGTACAGAGATTGAAATAAGATAAAAACTTCACAAAAGATGAGAATACAAACATAAATTTACAAACACTCAAGATTTTGGCTATGTAGTACCAGCATTATAGATTTCAGTTAACATAATTTTATGTGTTCTTTTTTACAAAACGATTGAAGTTAAAATCAAAATTTACATCAACGAAATGGTATTAAAAAGAAAATAGTAAAATACACACATGTAGATGCACTAGAATAAAGGAGCTAAGCTGCCTCTTTCAAATCTTCCTCTCCGCCTTTTGAAATTGAAATTGATGTGCACAAGTCTTTCAACTTTCAACATGACATTCAACACATTGTGAAGGGTGTTTGGCATTGTCATTGCTGTTAAATGCAAACCTCCTGAATAACAGTCAAATGTTCTCATATCTTGAACTTTCAGCATTTTAAGAATTGCATTAATTTGCATCCATAATGGGGTTTGCTCATTTTCATCCACATATATGAAATCTATAGAAAGGCACACATACACAATTCTGACAGAAACAAATTATGTAACATAACATTTCCACATTGATTAGCCTACATGTAAAAGTTTTACTTTCAATTTCACAATGGATCAGTTTAAACTGCAAAGATGTATAGTATACAAGTACATCATATCATTGCTACTCCATGTAATTCAATACAATGCAAAGACGCTTAGTATTCAAACACTTTCACATTAAACCTAGGCTTACATGTTACATGCGGCACATAGGAAATTTGTTCTTGAAATCTGATGGTGACAGCCTACAAAGCAAATGGTGTTCGAGTCAACTAGAAGAACACCATCAGTGTCCGTCTCATAGGTCATAGGTCGTGAAAGAACATAGTTCAAGTTCATCAAGTCACCATCTCCTATCGTGAGAGTCACCTTGTCCACAGTTCAACTCCGCTCAGATCTTTATCTGCCGCAAGAGACTAGCAGTCTTCTACTGAGTCTCTGAGATGCTCTTTGATGATCTTAGGCGAGGCCATAGATAGAGAGAACAGGAGGGTCGGGCGAATGTGAAGACGTCGTTTTTTGGCTTAAAAACTGTCCCTAGCTTTGCCACAAGTTTCCATTACTTCACAGCTTTGTCCAAGGCTGAAGGAGGAGTCTTTCCGGTGGTGGTGAAGAGGCTTCGAAGGACCGCCAGCTCCTTCGCTAAGCCCTCGACACGTTTCTTTAGCCCAGTGTTCTCCTCCTGGAGCTCACCAACCTTATCTTGGAGCTCCTTGTTCTTCGTTTTGGTCTTCTCTCGACTCTTTCTCACAGCGATATTGTTTCGTTCCCGCTTCTGCTTATACTCATGGGTGCCAGGAGTAGGAACGGGGCGTTTTCGCTTTTGGCTCCCACCTCCAGATCCAGAGGCAGTACCGCTGTCCGCCTGGATCTGGACTTCCTCATTGTACGAATCACCAGATGTGGGTAGACCAGGGCTAGATGCAGCACTGTTACTGGTGCTGTGAATTTCCCAGCATGGTTGATATTCAGGGACCGCTTGTTCAACAACATGGGCCTGAGTGTTCTGTTGTGGCATGTTGTTGATCGTGTAGTGCAACTGGTCGACTGAATGTACAGGCTGCTGGTTAGGCTGTGCGCCCGGAGTTGGGGCAGGCGTGTGGGTGAGCATCTGCTGATGATTTGAAGCGAAGTCTTGTTCTAGCTGTCGGAGAATTCCGTCACCAGTATTGCTAACGTGATTGTTCTGCTGTACCTCAGCCCTCCCTAAAGCTAAGTACGCGTCAATATCAATAGAGTCCTCGCTTTGAAGGAAATCACCGACAAGTCCAACGTTAGAATCCTCAATATCAAATGGTTCTTGTTTAATGGTGAATTGTTGCTTCTCTTCGCAGACGTAAAAGTTATCAGCAGACGGATCCATAACTTTTGCACTGTCCAAATGACATTGTGACAGAATTTGTGAAAACGAGTCCATCAAAATTCGCAGATAGACCTCACGGTGTAAAATATTTGCAAGAAGTGACCAGCGAGTGCAAATCCACGATGATTATACGTATATTGTAGCACAAGATAGCAAGTCCGATCACGTCGAGAAGTGTCAATTGTGAAATAGCATGTGATTATTACGT